CCCCCCCCCCCCCCCCCCCGCAGTACTGGGTATGGAACCTAGGGCCTTGTGTGTATAATGCAAACCCTCTACCATAGAGCTATACCCTAGACCAACGCCCACGAGTTTTAAGTAAAATTCTACATTTAAGAAATAAACAATAAGTTGCTGCTGAAAAAAAAAATTTAATTCTAAGGACTTAAATAACAAGTATCAAACATCGGTTTTATGTACTTACCTCTTTTGAATTGTAGCAATAGTAACTTTTTTTTTTTTTTTTTTTTTTGTACCAGAGATCCAACCCAGGGATACTTCACCACTGAGCCACATCCCAAGCTCTTTATATTTTTTATTTGGAGACAGGGTCTCCCTAAGTTGCTTAGGGCGTTGGCAATAGTAACTTTGATAGCCCAAGTTTTGTTATAAACAATTAGAATAGATTTATTTTTAGAGTAGGATTGTATAGCTCAGTGGTAGAGTACATGCATGAGGTCTTAGGTTCATTTCCCAGCATGGAATAATAAAAATAAATGGATTTTTTTTAAACTTTGGAAAATAAAATTTATATTTTCGAATTCAAAAAACAGCTGGGCTTATAGCTCAGTGGTAGCATAGCAAGCACAAGGACCTGGGTTCATTCTGTAGCATTCTGTAGCACCACAAACAAACAAACAAAACCCATGCTTCATTCTCTTTGGATATGTTCATAATTTACTATCATACATGTATTCCCAATGTTCACCTGTTCCAAARTAAATATAATTGTTGCTTTTAAATTAAGGGAAGGGAGTTTTTAAACTAAGGGAAGGGAGCTGGGTACAGTAGCACACACCTGTAGTCCCAGCATGCAGGAGGATCCCTTTGCTTTCAGGACTTCAAGACAAGCCTGGGCAACACATTGAGACCCCCATCTCAAAAATAAATACATGACAAAATTAAGGGAAGAGAATTTTTTTTTAAAAAAGTCATACTTCAGGAAAGCTATGTTATTTCTTAATATTTTTTCTGATATAAACTTTTGCTAAATGAATGAACATTAATATTTCCCTGAAAATTAAGAACAAAACAGAAAAGATAAAATGACTAGCCGGGCATGGTGCTGCACACCTGTAATCCAAGCGGCTCAGGAGGCTGAGGCAGGAGGATTAACAAGTTCAAAGTTAGCCTCAGTAACTTAGTTAAGACCCTAAGTAACTTCGTGAGACCTTAATCTCAAAATAAAATATAAAAAGGACTGGGGATGTAGCTCAGTGGTTAAGTGCCTCTGGATTCAATCCCCAGTACCAAAATAAAATAAAATAAAAAYATAAAGAAGAAAACAAAAGACTGCTTTTCAGCCCTTAAACAAGTAAATGCAAACCATCTTCCAGGTTAAAAAAACTAAATCTGTCAAGACTTCATTTTTTTTAAAGCACTTTGGCCAAAGTATATTCAATGTTCATCATTTCTACAGAGAATGAACTATAACAAATAAAACCATGTAGGAGTGGGTGCCCATTACCACAACCTTTACATTTACCTCTCTTCTCAATAGTTTTGGCTTCCTTACCTTCTGACTTCTTATCCAGATGTAGACAATATTGTCAAGAACTCATCTCCCRTTCAGGTCCCAGTAAGTTCTGGTCATTTTCCTGTTCCCTATTCCAGGTCAGGGTACACTATGCTAATGAGCTCTGGCAACAATCCAATCAAAATCTAGATGCTCTCAGCTCAGGATAGGTMAAAGCAGCCTGTTTCTTCTCAGCAGCCAACAATGTAATGAATATTCTATGGTGTGCTTCTGAACTTTCCCCTTCTTTATGTTGAGGACCTTGTAACTGAAATGGACATTAAGAACCTTGTGAAGAAGTACAGATGTCTTCCTTCTCGTTTCATAGGGTAAGCCCAAGCAGATTCAATCACTGTAGATCTTCATTCTCTTATCATTTATCCAGCCTGTGTACAAGACAGAAGACAGACACATAGACAGGTAGAGAGATATTATGGTGGTAGAAATTATTGGATTAGAATCCAAATAGCCAACATCTCCTAAACCAGAAAYACCAAAATGCTATCCTATCCCTAACAATGATGACAGTAATTCTGAGTGTTCAAATCCCCCCAAATAATACAAATCTTTCTTCTCAAGATGTCCTCAGTGCAGTTCTTCCTTGAGTGCTGCCTCAGTACCAGCTGTGTAAGTTCAGTTCATCTGCTATGTTCCAGGTGGTCCACTAGGCTCTGGAGAATTAAAGCCATTAAGTGTCGGGTGTGGTGGCACACCTATAATCCCATCGATTTGGGAGGCTGAGGCAGGAGGACTGCAAATTCAAAGCCAAGCCTCAGAAACTTAGCAAGACCTTGTCTTAAAATAAAAAATAAAAGGGGATGTGGCTCAGTGGTAAGGTATGCTCCTGGGTTCAATCCCCAGTGCCAAAATAATATAAAGCCATTAAGAAGTTCACTCTTGGGGCTGGGGATGTGGCTCAAGCGGTAGCTCGCTCGCCTGGTATGCGGGGTGCTGGGTTTGATCTTCAGCACTACATAAAAATAAAAAAATAAAGATGTTGTGTCCATTGAAAACTAAAAAAATAAATATTAAAAAATTCTCTCTCTCACTCTCTTTAAAAAAAGAAAAAAGARAAAGTTCACTCTAGCTACCTGGGGTGGTGCATACCTGTAATCCCAGTGACTCAGCAGGTTGAGGTAGGAGGACTATCAGCCTCAGCAATTTAGTGAGACCCTGTCTTAAAAYAAAAAAYAAACAAAAAAAGAAGGGGTTGGGAGGCTAGGATAAAAAAAATTCTGGGGTTCAATTCCCAATACCCAAAAAAGAAGAATCAAAACTTTTTTCACTAAAAGCATGTTCAGGCAACCCTTTGAAGTATAAATAGGATAAGTATTATCAAGTAATGGAAGTGAGTGTTTCAGGTAGTGGCTACATCATGGGCAACATTACCAGGGGTCAGTTCCTGGCAGGAAGGTCCAGACTCTCAGAGATGAGGCTTGGGGGGAAGGAATGTGTAGTCAAAAGGTAAAATGCCTGTAAGCCTCACAGTTGTACTGAGCAGCTATCAAGAGACCTCTGGCAATGCTGAGATTTTTTTACTAGTATTTCCGTTCATGAATAAAATCCTCTCCTGCCTAGTTTAAGACCTGGTTATCTTACAGGTTATCTAACCCATCTGGTTTACTTCTTATAAGACCTTCCAATACTTTTCTAGAACATGTGATTTCTCATTTCTGGGGTGTTAGAGAATTTTGAATTTTTGAATTTTATTCTGTTTTATATTATTTAGGGTTAAGGGTTTTTTTCCATATATATATATATATATTATTATTATTTTTTTTTTTTTTGGACATACTTTCATCTCCTGGAGATTCCCACTATCAACATTTTGGTCATGCCCTTTCAGGGTTTTGGTTTTTCCTGCACACATAATCAAACATAGACATTATATGTATAGTAGCAATCCTACTGTACATGTTATTGCTTTTAGTTGTTAGAGAGTGTTAGTCCTGGCTTCCCAGCTAGAATGCTGTTCCTTCATGGTGAAGTTTCCTCTTCTATGTTCCTCTTTCTCCTCACAGGAAGACCTGCTGGATTCCAGCTGCAGCATTAGAGGTATCCTTGTCCCAAGAACCAACCCTCCTCTGACACAGGAGGGAACAAGAACTCTCTCCACACTCTTGAGCRGTGACGCTTTGTCCCAGGCTGGTAATAGTCCTTTTGCTTTCTTAAAGCTGAGGTCCTGACTTATTCAATTCTGAGCTCTCCTCATTGGCTCTCTGTCAATGTTATTGATAACAGCAGAAATCATAGCAGCTTCCCTTGATTGAACATGCACAGTGCATCAGGTGCTAAGGGTCTCTCTTGTGTTATCACACTTGATAGTAAGAAATCAGAGAAATACCATCGCGCAGGGTTGGCAGAACTGGGGTTGAACTCAGACTCGTTTGCCGACTGTGGTTCTGCAAGGAGAGCCCTGTGCTAGTCACTGGAGTCTTGGTCTTGGTTCCTACATACTCATAGCTCCATGTGTCTCTTTCCAATCTCTGCCCTCTCTCTGGAGATAGGAATCCTGCCATAAGCTAGGGGGCTAGAGGTCCCGATGCTTGGTGATTGAGCTGGATCACTTATGCTGAAACTTCTCAGTATCTGTGCTCTTCATTCCCTGTCACTTGGAGGCCTGCCTCCCCAGATCATTCCAGTGTCTTCCTTTAGTAGTGATGTTCTAGGAAGGATAACTCTTCTATGTGTAGAATGTCCCATTCCCGGGATCCTCAGGCACTAGGTACCCCAACATCCCAGTCAGTGTTAACCATAATCCCCTACCTCCAAATTCCAAATGTTCATGGGGGCTGGGGAGGGGGTAGCAGAATACTGCTTCTGGTTCAGGATGACTACGCCCTGGAGGGTTTGCCTCCAGGACCACCTGTGGATTCCAACTCATAGCTTCTCACGCCTAGCTCTACCTGATGGAAGAGCTTCCACACGTACAGCTCAGTCTATCCTCCTGGTTTCTCTTTTATCTCAAGAGATGTTCCAGGCCTTAGTTCCCTGCATTTGCTTGGTCCCTCTGATGTCAACTTTTATTTAATACTTATCATTTATTAGGCATTGTTCCAAATATTTAATTATCACAACCATCTTATGAAATATAATATTATTAAATGATTTTAGTATGAAATGAGGAAGAGGAAACTGAGGCACAGAAGAGTTAAATAACTTGATCTTAAACRATTATATATATATGACCAACCTCTTCACATCAGCAAACTGACACTGGTCAAAGGAGAAACATCAACTAAGAAGAACCACGTCAAAAACATTTCCTCTGCTGGGGATGGAGCTGAGTGGTAGAGTGACTATCTAGCATGTGCAGAGCCCCAAGTTCAATCCCCAGCATCACACTAATAACAACAACAACAATAATTCCCTTCATGGTAGAATAAACCTGTCTAAYATTGCGATCCCTTCTGGTTGGCCATGGCTCTCCTGCCTCCTTACCTTACCATATTTTAGGAAACTGTTTTACCCCCCAAAGCTATCCATTGGAACTTTCTGTCCCTTCTGGCATAGGACCTAGCTTGCCTAGTCATTCCTTGGAATTTTTCAAATTAGAGGTGGGGGGAATGGTGCTTTCATCTCAGATGTTCGGCCTGACCTCAGACTTGCTGATGGTCATCTCTCCTGCCACCCGGCAGGATCTAAGAGAATGAAGCCAGCAAGAGGAAAGGAATGGACAATGGGGGAGGGGAAGGAGAGAGGCCTGGACATAGGCCCGAGGCCAGCTCCAACATGCTCCTCTCCTACTAGGTGACCCAACAAATACCCTTCATTTCTTCAATGCTTGGAACGGGGTGTCTTCAACTCACCCCTGTCAGTCAGAGATCTGCTAGCACATTTCCCCTCTCCCTAGTCTAAGTAAGCCTGAATCTAGCCCATAATTCAAAATAAACCTACTGTCCTTTTCATTTATGCTTCTCAAAGTAAGCATCCAGAGTGACTTGTATGACATCCCTTAAAATCAGAAAATGCCTGGTAAAGTCTCACTTGAATTGGTGTGTAGGACACAGAGGACAGTCACTGTCCACCTGTTAGACACTTATTCAGCAGGAGCTTGCCACAGCAGGTGATCAAGGGACCTCTCAGAGACCACTTTTCCAACGGAACTTTGGTGTTTCCCTTAGAATTTCATTTCTCAAATTCTAAGCCAATTGTGGCTTCTGGGTGGAGTTTCTCCAAAGTTAATATAATATACTTTTAGTCCTAAAGACCAAACTGTATCATCTTAACTTGGATTCTGAGCTGCTTCTCTCCTGAGAAAGAGGAGGCTTGCCTGTGTTCTCTTCTAAATCTCTAGCAAATGAGACCAGCTGGGTTGAGTGCTGATGTCCCTAGTTGGTTGTTCGGTGGGGAAGCCCCTGAAGGTCATGGTCCTCTTTGGAACATTCTATGCCATTTTAAAAACACTTACTTTAATTCTAAGGCTTGAGAGTTGGGGATGTAGTTAGGTAGAGTACCTGCCTAGACATGCGTAAAGCCCTGCTTTGGTCTTCAGCACCACACACACAAATATACTTATGAAACTTGAGACTGTTTCACTAACAGACACAATGACTAACATATGTAATATCAAAATCAACACTAGGGACCCGTTGTCAACTCCTAAAAAAAAAAATGAAAAAACTCTCAAATTTATAGTTTTTCCAATTTCCTAAAATACTTTACTGTCCTTTTATTTTGTGCTAAAAGATAAGCCACAGGATGTCATGTCCTATAGGTTAATAAAACGTGTGTCTAAAGTCAGAATTTTGAGAAAATCGTTCTACTTTTTAAGTATTTTGCAAACTGGGAAATCAACATCAATTTCTCTTTTTCAGGGGGTACCAGGGATTGAACTCAGGGGCACTCGACCACTGAGCCACATCCCCAGCCCTATTTTTTATTTTATTTAGAGGCAGGGTYTCACTGAGTTGCTTAACACCTCACTTTTGCTGAGGCTGGCTTTGAACTCACATCTTCCTGTCTCAGTCTCCTGAGCTGCTGAGATTACAGGCGTGCACCACCACGCCCGGTTTCAACTTCTCTTAA